TAAGTTCGTAATTTATTCTGGAGCAGAGGCTAGAAGCATAGTGTCATTTGCGAATCACAAGTTAGATATCTTGACACTGCCTAGGTTTATTCCTCCCTCCCAACCATTCAAAACTTTGCATTATGAACTCTATATAGATGTTAAATAATAAGGGAGATAAAACGCACCGCTTGACACATTGCTAGAGTGAAAACTAATAGATGGACCAAAAAATCTTGGAGTGCAGACTAAGAGCGATTAAACGAAACCAGGGAAGACCACTCACGTGATGAACTGACGTCATAAAGAAGATATGTACCAACTGGATTGCAACAGCGCAAAGTTACTGTCCACTGTTGAACATAGGAAGTCTCCAATCTCCTCCATGCCTCTTGATTCTGTACTGTCATTATGAAGTTTCCAGCAAATATTTTCACCTCGTCGTTCCAACGCGTCGGTGGTCGACCTCTTCTACGTTTGTCTGATCGTTGTCGCTATTATGATATTCTTCTGGTACATATGTTTCATTGTAATTACATGTTCTACTATGTCTTTGATCTTCTTTTGTGTCTGATGGTGTTATTGCGTATAAGGTTTCTTTTATTTCGTTATGTAGTGTCTAATTTAAACTGTATTTCTGATTCCAAGCTTGACTCTTTCTATGGCTCTCTGGGCTACTCTTAAAGTTAACGCTGTTGTTTTTATTCAGACATATGGTTATACTAACAGCCCAATCCAAACCTATTCTAAGCTGTATCTCGTGCGTTTGGTTGTTCTTTTCCATTTGTATTTTGTGTCTCATGTAACATGTGTTTCTTTTATGTCGATGGTGCTGATGTTTTGTGTGAGCATTAGATTTGTCATTATTATTGTTTTGCTTCCATTTATTCGGAAATCAACTTCCGATTGATACAACTGTTTTGTATCAAGGATGTTGACTATGATAAGAATGATCTGTGCCATCTGCGAATCTAAGATGAGTTAACCTTTCGCCGTCGATATTGGGGCCGCTGTTCTCCCAAGACAGTGATAAAAAGTTTTGGCGAATTGGTATCTCTTTTTCTAACTCCTGTGAATTTCTTAATTCAGTGTTAGAACCGAAGACAGACTTTCTGTCATCTAAATTAGGTGGCGATATTTAACGAGATCACTCTAGACAAGTGCGAAATTTAATTGATTCTGCTTTTCTATATCTTTAGACGTCATTAAGATTATTTAGTAATGTATTTCTTTCTGTGCAGTTCTTTACATTTTTATACTGGTGACAGTACATATTGTTTAGTATTCTAGAAAAGACCCCTATAGAAAAAAAGATTACCCTGCCACTTCAGTTTTGGCGATTGTTATCGTGATTGAAGCCTAATCACAGCATTTGATCGCAGGCATCATATACTGTTGAATGTCAACATTGCTGCAACTAAAAAAGAACACACTCACAAATCGGTAATGAAAGTTCCCTTTGATACATTTTTTTTTGTTTTTCCTGTGCCCGTTTATGTTTCATTCCGATAGGTTTTTTACGAAGTTGTCGGTTCATAAATCTGCAATCCATCAAAACAAGTTTAATTTTCTGATTGTTGCACTCGATGTTACTTCTGTAAAACTCGATGTCACTTTTTAATGTTTACTTTCTATCAAAATATGTTTAATTGTTTGGGTAAATTAAGTTTATTAATTTTTTCGATCATTGTTTTGAAGATACATTGCAAGTAAAATTTAAAATTATGTCAAGTCATATGTACTTGTAGAAATTGATAAAAGCCATATATTTCGTTATCTGCTTCGTCATCATTTTAACCTTACTGGCGTCCTTTCTCGTTGCCCGTTTCGTCGTTGGTTTACCATTACTGTTCATTATTAGTTTTTTTGGTTTGTCTCTTATATTTTCTTTATTATTTAATTTCCATTCTTTCTTATTCACCCACAGTATTTTTACACCAACGTTGACATCTTTACCTTTCACTCAACCTTCTCGTGCAATCATCCTAGCAATTTTTTGTATTTTTCTCTCGTGTCATTGTTGAGTATGAGAATATTTTCTCTTCTTTGTAATTTTCTAGCTTGGTTGTTATTTCTTCCTCATTTCCTTAAATTCCATATGATCTTCGATTTTTTATTAATTCGGCTTTAATTTCTTTACTTTCTTGTTTTAGATCCTCGGTCTTGTTCCGTAACATTTGATATTCTGCAATTATGTGATCTATTGCTTCTTTCCTTCTGTTTTTTCTTTCCTTATTTCTTTAATTTCATTTCTTAGTTTATTCATAATTTCAATTATTGTATCGAGTTTTGTTTCATTCTTCCGTGGTCTAACCGTTAAAAATCTTCGTCTGCTTACGTCTTTCATCGTAATCGGCGTCTTCATCTTTCTTTTATTTTTTTATCTGTTGCAGCAGCTGTCAATGTTCCAACTTTTTCATTTCTCTAGGAAATTTTGCCATTGTCCGAGATCAGACACTACTTTCAACCTCAACGGTTCAGTAAAAACAATGTCTACCGTTTCAATAACAACCGCCACCTTCGAAGTACTGTCGCCTGAGAAATTATGCTTACAGTGGAAACGTTGTACTCTTACCTGATTCCTTTTTATCGCTGTCGATTAGTCTTTGATTGAAGACTGAATTGAAATGAATAGAAACTAACAGTTCATATTTCAATGCATTTTCATTTACCTGTCCCCCAGTTCATCTTGTTTATCCCAAGAACAGGTACATAAACATAACAAAACATAACATAATTTCACGTATGGTGTTTTGTGTCTTACCGGACTCGTAGATACTTCCCACATTTCAAGTGCCTATCCTCATACCTGATTTTATTCTTATTTTATACCTGGATAACGGCCTGGAAAGTCCTATGTGTTTGTCTTCTCCTGTCTTATCAGTATACATTTTCTTATCATATGTCATTATGAATGGTGCCATTAATTATGGTGCCATTATGAATGAACTAGAGAATCATTTCCTCTGCGATCTTGCACCTTGAGCTGGTACTGATGACCGCTGCCTTTAGGAAAAAGGTAACTAGATTTTGAAAGGATAAAGGGATGGGACATGTTTTCTCTCAGTGAGGAATTGAGAGTAAAGCATGGCTCGCGTGGGTAGGATCGCTTTCCTGAATTAGATGTTTTTTCTACTAGGATCATAGAAATGTGTCTATCTGCTACCCTAAAAAGACCTAGACGAGGTTTTTATAAAATGTCATTAGAATAAATTGTATATCAACATAAATCAACAATGTTTATGTTGGTTATTATATTAAATATATATATATATATATATATATATATATATATATATATATATTAATAAAGAGAAAAATAAAAATAAATAAATAGACCATTTAAATATATTTTCAAGACATCCTGGTAAACAAAATTTATGTATTAGATTAAGATAAGATTAGATTAACAGAAAGTTTTGCCTGTCAACAACTGATTTTTAAACACTGGCAAGTAAAATCTTTTTATATAGAATTAGAAAGCCCATAATCATTATAATCTTTTCTTTGTTTGTAACTAGGAATAAAATATTGTATTTAACCTGTTGTTATAGAAATGAAATATGTATTATTAACCAAAGGGAAAGCCAGTTTTAAAGCAAAAATTTTTATTTCTCAGGAAACAATAATGTTGTTTTTTTTTAATGATTATAAACAAAATAAAGCTTTTTGTTTGGACAATGTTTTTTGTGAATGGGAGATTTGACAGTCAATGTATGAGAGAGAATAGGCAGTTGTCATTTTATCATCTTAAGGAAAGGTCGCGTCTCGATAGAAAGTGTGTTAGGGAGTTTGGATACCGGTATTGTGAAAGGAAGTTCGCAGAATTGTGGAAGGAGATTACAAGTCGATGAAAAGGTATCCTTGGATCTAAAGTGGGCAGTTTCTGGAATACGTAGGAAATAGTTTGGTGGCACGAAGTTGAGAGAAAGAGGTCCTTGTGTCATTGAGAACTAGCTGAGTGTTTGGAGAATTAAATTTAAAGTGTTAATTGTTGGAGAATTGAGTCAGGGATTTCGTACAGTCGCTGTAGGAGGATTGCAGATGCGAAAAGAAGAACGCCGAGGCCAATAGTGGCAGATCACATTGCTATGAAGCGTAGACAATTCTGGGTATGGTCTAAATACAATGTACGAAGGAAAGGTCAGTGATTTTCTGTTCAGAAATGAAAGTTTTGTAACTGTGAATTAATTTTGTCGATATCATTGTCGTTACCATTTTAACTCAAGAGTAGACTTCATTTGTAAAATGTTTTAAAGTTTCGTTTTTGCAATAAAGTAAATATTAAAAAATCAGATAGATAAAAAGTTTTAAAGATATTTATTAAAATTGGCTTTAAAGTGGTTTTGTTTTTCAAGAAGACTTAAAATATTCTTTTTGTGTAAATTTTATTGTATTCATGTATGCTGATTGATACGATAACGGCAAAATTTGATAATTGTTTTATTCTTCTTTAAATAAAATAAAGAATACCAATTTTTGTTTGTTTTGTTTGTAACATATTATTTTTATTATTATCCTATTTTCTCTAACCCGATAAAGGACAACTAATAAATCTTTGGACACACACAACATAGATTAATATAAGGCGATTTTTCACCCTGAGATCAATTATGTTATGTTTTTGATTTGCTCAATTAATCAAGTAAAACAAGTAATAACAATATATATATATATATATATATATATATATATATATATATATATATATTTATATATATATATATATATAGATATATATATATATATATATATATATATATATATATATATATATATATATATATGTATATATATATATATATATATATATATATATATATATTTCACGAACTTATATATAATTTACGAAGAAGGTTGCGTATCGATTTAATTTGAGTCTCGTACCACCCTCTGAAACGTGTTTCTGGATTTACCCATATATATATATATATATATATATATATATATATATATATATATTATAATTATCTGTTTGGTGTACTCTTTTTTATTAATGATATTATTTTAATTAATTACAGCATAGTGACGGTGAAAAAAGCGACCAAGACTTAGTGGTGGACGATGCGTCCGAAGATCCCGTCTCTCCACCAAACGGCACCACCTCTCCGAGAGAAAACGGCATCGATAAATTACCGAAGAAAGAACACCCAGGACCGCACAGTCCCAGATCTGGCACATCTAGTAATGCATCAACGCCATCGACAAAGAAAATGGAGGAGAAACCAACCACACCGATTTCTAAGTCTGTAACACCTACGTCAGCAGCCGGATCTTCATCTGGAAGCGCATCAGGAGGGCTAAAACCTATCAAGCAGCAGGGGCTGGGGCAGTATCCACCGTATTTAGCAATGTCAAATGGTAAGTAGGTATTGTATGTTGAAAATTGCTTTACATTCATAGGTACGCTTAGGTAAGTGTAAATTATTAGAAACAATTAATGCTATTAAAAAAAAACTGTATCATAACCATACCTCTTACATTTTCTATCATATAACGCTTTCATAATTTAGAAATAAATTACAAAAATTACAAACATTAAACAACACAAAATATGATTCCCCTTCACAAACATGTCCCCACTATGTGGTCTTTGGTCGCTTTGGAGACAATCGGTGTTCCTTCACTCATTTATCTAAATGTCTCTAGTTACCCACAGTTCTATTATACCGATCCTAGATACAAAATGTTCAATGTTCAATGTTTCAGTGTTCATCGAAAAGTAAAGGAAATGGCTGGAAAGTTCCGAAAACGCAACAGCGGAAAAAATAACAGATGATGAAGGTAATCTTGCCATAACCAAAGAAGATAAAAAGAAAGTATATGAAGAATACTTGGAGAAGTTTTTCCAAGACCTTAGAACAATACAAGAGACCACCATTGAAGAAAATTCGGGTCCCGAAATCCTACCAGAAGAAATAAATTCCTACAGAACTGTTGAAGCTATTAGATGCAGAACAAATATTTAATGAAAAATACAAGGCAGGAAAAATACCAGTGGAGTGGCTTAAATCGGAGTTCGTACCATTGCCCAAAAAACCAGAAGCAAAAGTTAGGACCATAAGACTAATGAGCCACCTGCTGAAGCTGTTTAACAGTCATCCACAAAAGAATTTACCGGAAATGCGAGAAGCAAATTGCACCCAATCAGTTTGGATTTGTGAACGCCGTTGGTACGAGGGAAGGTTTATGTAGCGTGCATGTATTGTTTCAGAAATGTAGAGATGTCAGCTGTAATGTTTTTGCATGCCTGATTGACTACATGAAGGCTTTCGATAGAGTCAGACATGAACAAATGATGAAAGTGCTGAAGAGGAGAGGGATTAGCGGAAAAGACTTAAAAAGAATAGCTAACCTGTGTTGGAATCAATCAGCGGTACTCCGAATAGATGGAGAATATACAGATCAGTCCAAAATCTTAAGGGGAGTGGGATAAGGGTGCATAATGTCACCACTGATATTCAACCTGTACTCGGAGCACATTTTTGAAGAGGCTCTAAAAGATATTGATGAAGGGAGCTCAATACATGGAGTCAAGCTCAATAATTTGCGGTATGCAGATGATAAAATAGTGTTTTCCAATATCATAGAAGTGTTGCAAAGCTTAATGAACAAAATAACGGAAACAAGTAGAAAATATGGACTGGATATGAACACCAGCAAAACTAAGCTAATGATCATCAGCAAGGAAAACATAACTGGAGCAAAACTGTATGTGAACCAAATGAGAATTGAACGTGTCTCACAAGACAACTACTTGGGAACTATAATCAATGAGTCGTGGGACAATACCCAAGAGATTAAATGTCGCATCGGAAAGGCAAAAAGTACATTCTTGACTTTGAGTGCTATGTTCAAGAGCCATGACCTCACCCTAGAAACAAAAATAAGGCTCCTTAAATGTTATGTGTACTCAGTGCTTCTGTACGGAGTAGAAACTTGGACATTGAAGGCGGAAACTCTATCAAAACTTCAGGCTTTTGAGCTATGGTCATACAGAAGGATCCTGAAGATACCATGGACAGACAGTCACCAATGAAGAAGTACTGCGGAGGATGAACACAACTGCGGATTTAGTCAATATCGTGAAAGGCCGTAACCTTCAGTATTTGGGACATATAATGAGAAATCAAGGCAGATACGAGCTACTTCAATGCATTTTGTTAGATAAAATTGAAGGAAAAAATGGTCCCAGGACGAAGAAGAATATCCTGGCTTGCTAACCTGAAAGCATGGTATAGAAAGACCTCAACACAGCTTTTTCGTATAGCCACCCACAAAGTCATCATAGCCAGAATGATCGTCAACGTTCGGAACGGACAGCCACCCTAAGGAGAAGATAAAAAAAACTCTAACTATGGTGAGGCAGTTGAGATGCGCAAAATGACGTTTATTTGCCTCGAGTTACTGCCGTATCTGCGAGGTATATTTAGTTTTACCTCGCAGTTTTCTTGCCACAATTTAAAATACGTTTTTACTTGTTGCAATTATCGCTGAGCGATCGTCGCTGATCAATGATCGCTAAGCAATGATCACAAGCGAAGTTTTTTTACTGAATCAGGCGATGATTTGATTAGTGAGTTGTTCGTTGTCTAGGGAACAAGTGGTTTGGATGCAGCGATGAGCGTATGTAAAAGAAAACAATTATTTTTAAAATACCTGCTAACGGAAGAAATAGAGAATGAAGAAATTTTGTAAATGTTAAGTATTCCATGATTAGAAAAACATGCAATATTTAAAAGAATACAAGAAGAAGGACACTTCAAATAACCATTTATAAGGAGATAAATGGTTATATTTATGAGATAAGGAGATAAAGTTTCCACAGTTCTTTCGTTTGAATGAACTTCAGTTTGATTTTGTATTAAGTTTAGTAAACCAGAATATGAAAAAGTCGTCTACAAACTCTTTTCCCTATCCAGTGTCTTCAAAAGAGAACCTCTGAAATAAAATACTCTCAAAATCATATACACAAGCCACTATAGTCGCTTAGCGTTTGCGACTGTGTCTGCATCGGACCAGTCCAAAAAGTGTCCTATTAAAATCTGCGCGATAAATATTTATCATAATAGTCGTTTTTGTATCCAAAACTATTATTTTTCAAAATCATTTCACCGTGATATAAATGATCTGCTCTAATTCTTTGATTTTTTTTTTATATTGTATATATAACTGGTTATATATACAATATATTGTATATATAACTATAAGACAAATTTGCTTTTATCTACATTTAGATGCTTCATTCCTCTCGTCTTTATTTTGTTATGTCTATATTTTAATTGCAAAGTATAATTTATTTTCTCTTTTCTATTCTCTCTCCCTGGTTACATGTTACTATTCGTTTTGGTTACATCTTATCTTATCGAAAGCTTGAGTATGAATAGTGCTGAGATGGGAATTACTATAAACGCTAAAAAAACGAAGTACATGCTAATTATAAAAAGACCACAAAATATACATCACCTATTGACAATCAATGGTAACGTGATAGAACAAGTAAGAAAAATATCAATACTTGGAACTTTGATCAATGAAACCAATGATTATACTGTATAGATATAAATAAACCACTGAAAAATGAAGCCACTCCTAACGTGCAAAAATCTAAATTTGGAGATCAGACTACGTACCATTCGCTGTTGTGTATTTTCAATATTATTATGTGGAGCTGAGACTTGGACATTAAAAAAATGGAATTTAAAAAGAATCGAGGCTTTCGAACTCTGGTTATATCGCAGAGTATTAAATATATCATGGATTGATAGAATTACAAATAAAGAAGTACGGAAGAGAGTTGGTAAAGAAACAGACCTAATCACCACTATACAAACCAGAAAACTGGAATACAGGGAAAGATTCAAGGAAGAAGATCTGTTGGCCGAAGGCAGAACCCATGGTTAAAGAATATACGTGATTAGTATAAATGCAGATCGAATGATTTGTTTAGAGCCAGTTTGCTACCAGCAAGCTCTAAAATAAAAATAGCCATTATGATTGCCATCCTCCGTAGTCAGACGGCACTCTAAGAAGAAGATTCGTTTTGGGTGACTATATTATCCAAATATTTAACCATTTATAAAATATATACAATTCCTCTTCGTTTTATTTATAGCTTTTGTCCCCTTCATGGGTTTCGTTTATTTGCATGTTCTGCTGTTATCTATATTAATAATCAAACCTACTTTATTTATAGGTGCTGCTCCCCACGATCTGCAAGCGGCAGGAAGCTATGCTGGTTTGCATAATAATATACCACCAGCTCTTAATAGCTACCCAAGGCCACCACTACAAGTTGGATATGATCCCCATTCACAGATGAGAGCCCCTGTCGTACCAGGACTTGGTGGAATTCCTGGAGGAAAACCGTAAGTTCAACAATTTTTTTCTATACGACCTACGATACTGTTACGATTCTGTGGTATCTTTTGTTATTGTTTTAATAAAGGATAAGTTTAAATTGAGATTTTCTAGACAATTAAACTTGTTCGATAAATGCGTATTTATTACCTACTGTGTGGTCCTTTTGTTATAGTTTTATAATATTTTATGTCTTAGTACATATGTGTATCTGACAGCAAATATATAGAAACAACTCATATTTAGTAACCCTTTACATCGACTAGTAGGTTCGTATTTTTGCTCTGCCAGAATATATGTGTATAATCTTTTTTTGTTATACTATACTCCAATACCTATCTTATTTCTTTCTGTACTAAAACAGCTCTTGCTTGTCTCATGACCTTTTCTAGATCGCTCTCCACTAATTGGCTCCATGGTCTAGGTGTGTCACTTTCCTTATTGTGTTTTAAATATTGCTGTTAGTTGTTGGGGTATCTGTGTAGGGTTTGTAGACAACGCAGTGTTTTATTCTTTAAGAAGTTAATACTAAGAATTATGAGGAACAGCAAAAGTTGTATCCGCTGACATAATTTTATTTTAAGGTTCTCCATGATTTTTTGTATCGTTTTTTATACTTCTCAACCTTATATTTAATACCTAGTATTTCAAACTTAATATGCAGAAATAGAGATGATTTTTATTTTCTGTATTGGTTCTAATATCTTTCTATGTATCAATTTTTCCTATTTTACAATATCTAAATTCGTCTAGTTGCTACTCTGGTAACTATATGGAAATCCATAAAATTTTAACCTATAATCAACGAAATGCTGATGTATAATCCCAATCAAGTTTGGGAGTTTTTAGTTTTTGTGTTGCCTAAAAATAAAAATTCCAGTCAGCCGATTCTAGACAGCTCAGCGGTTTTCAGAGATAGATTCGACCTTAACCAAAATATACAATATCAAATTGAAACAAACTAAATATCAAAAAGTATATACCAATATTGAACAAAATACAAGAAAATCTTAACCACCTAGAGGTTGGTGGTTGGTATTTTATTTAATAACATTTTTTTATATGTGGCTTTTCAAAACTTCCTAATATCCTGTGAGAGCCAAAAAAACAAAGAAAAAATACCATAGAAAATTAATACACTACGAAATTAACATTAAAATTCCCAACTATTTATATATCTTTATAAAATTAGACTGAGAACCTCCTCATTCGTGACTCGATCAGTCCAAGGGATCTTAAGTATTCTTCGATATAGCCACATCTTAAATGCTTTCAATCTTCTGCTCATATCTTCGTTCAATGTCCACGATTCAACACCGTAAAAAAGGACAGAGAAGACGTAGCATCGCAGTCTTTTATCTTTTATGATCACTATTATACCAAGAGAGAGGTTGTGGCTCTTAAAGAAGGCATCCATTTGGTTGAAGATCATTCTAGCTTTTCCGATGTGCACTCTTCTCTCCTGGTTGTTGGTCCATTCTACAGGTAATATGGTACAGAGGTAGTTTTAGTGCCTCACTCTTTCTACTGGAGTTTGATTGCCTAGTTGGGTTATTTAGAGTTGACCTTGTTGTATCTTTTTCTTGCTAATTATCATGAACTTTGTCTTCTTTACATTTATATTGAGTCCATATTGTTGACTGTAATACGTGATTTTGCTCATAAGGACTTGTAGGTCTTCTAGATTATTCGCAAATACTATGGGGTCATTTGCATATATGTTGGTACACGTTTAGTAGATTACCTTTTTCAGTTTCGTGCAAAGTTTCGATAAATATTCTTTCACAGTAGATATTGAAGATTAGAGGGAACAAAATACAGCCTTACGTCACTCCACGAATGGCTTTCACATATTCGGTGTGTTCACCTTCGTAAAGGTTTCTAATTATTTTCAGATCTTGGCTGTTAATTGCTGCTTTCTTTAGTATTTGATCATCGTGACGTCCTGTACTCGATCAAACGCTTTCTCCTAATCAATCAAGACATGCTTATAAGTCGCAATGAATGTCTCTACGTCTCGGGAAAAATACTTATATTGAGAACAAAGCTTCTCTCGTGCGAACACCATTTATGAACCTAAGCGGGTTAGGGGAAATTTGACTTTCACACAGCTTGAAAATTATCTTATGGATTAACTTGTTTTTTTTTAAGTGCAATAAAATCTAGGCTTCAACCATTCTGTTGGTGTTTCTCTAGAGTTGTATGTGTTGTTAAGTATTTTTGTGATTGCTATTGTTTCGTTGTCCGAATAGTTCTGCTTGTATATTATCAGGGCCTTCTGCTTTATCATTATTTACCTATGTTATTATAGAATAAATTTTCTGTTGTAATATTCTTAGTCCATAATTTTCCTCTTCTTATAGCTCAAAGGTATTATCTCTATGAACTTCAAACAGTATCTCTAGGTATTCTTTCTACGTTCTTATTTTACTCTGTCCAAGATGATGTTTCTGTCAGATTTAGTTACATTTTCTTTCTGTCTCCGTCTTAGTCCACCTGGAAGTTCTTTAACTTTCCTATGTACATTGTGACTATCGTACTTTGACTGTAGAGTCTCAATTTCTTGGCATCTTTCCATTGCTTCTTTTTCTTTCGCTTCTCTGATTATTCTTCTTATTATTATATTTATCGTTTTAAATTTGTCTGGGTCGTTTTTGGCTTTTCTTTCTTAGTTAACGTGGCTTGGACCCTCATTTTTGTATTAAGGCTCTTTAGATCGTATGATTTTCACTTCTGTATTATTTTGACTGTGACTCGGGAAACTCACAATAATGGTACGTATAATTCGATAATTAAGTATACAAGTAGCTAAATTTTGAATTCTTCATGCGCACATGTTACTCGTACTCAATGAATGATTCATTTATCTCTTCCCGAGATGTGGGCATTAGCAAAATTTGTAGGACATTTGTCTTGAACTTGACTCAATTTTATCATAGCAAAATTTGTAAGTGAACTATGTTACTATAATTTTTAGGGCATATTCCTTTCACGTAAGTGCCGATGGACAGATGCAACCGGTGCCCTTTCCGCCAGATGCCCTAAGTGGTCCTGGAATTCCAAGACACGCTCGTCAAATAAATACTCTGAGTCACGGGGAAGTCGTTTGTGCAGTGACGATTTCCAATCCCACCAAATATGTATATACCGGAGGCAAAGGCTGTGTCAAGGTTTGGGACATCAGCCAGCCTGGTTCAAAGAGTCCTGTGTCTCAGTTAGATTGCCTGGTAAGTAAATATACAATATAAGTAGGTTTAACAATTTAGAATCATTGTCACAAAAGTAATTATAGTATAATAGAGAGCTTATGTTTTTTTGCTCGGATTATAATTAAGAGATCTAATACATCTTAATAATCCTTTTATCCATTTTTTTATATATTTTATCCAATAATCCATTTAGAAGATAAAAAAGAGAACGTCGAATAAGTGTTAAAACTCTTAGGTTTACGTCAGTGACTCTAACAATTTCTTTAAAAAGACTTAAAAGTGAAGTTAAAATATTAACACAGTCATTTCTAAAAATCAAATTTACGTTCCATAATACATAACATATCCATGAAGATGAACAATTTTTTCAGATTAAGATATTCAGGAAGTCTGTCAATGTGTTTCGCTCACGCACAGTACATACGATTCCTTTTTAAACTTTATATTAAGTGTTTGTATATTTGTTTTTTAGCAAAGGGACAACTATATCAGATCAGTAAAACTATTACCGGACGGAAGAACTCTTATTGTAGGCGGTGAAGCGAGTAATCTATCTATTTGGGACTTAGCCAGTCCTACACCTCGGATAAAGGCAGAACTGACATCCAGCGCTCCCGCCTGCTACGCTTTAGCCATAAGTCCAGACTCCAAAGTTTGCTTCAGTTGTTGCTCAGACGGTAAGTTACTTTATTTTATAATTTTAGTTTATTACTAAATTGTTAAATTGAATGTTATATCAGTTCAATACTACAGCTCATGCATTGGACGAAAAAAATATTCCACAAAAAGCAAATGTCTATAGTAAATGATAAGTGGACCCAGACTAGAATTGAAATCGCAAGATCTAGATTCATAAAGATGAGAAAGCTCTTAAAGGTACGATTCCAACAATGACTGCAGACGGCCGTTGCAGTTGCCGTTAGCAGCAGCTAATTCAGTTACGTGTCTGCATAAAACAGTTGAGGTTGGGTATTACATAAAAAAAAGAAGATGATGACGATTTGTTACTATATTATTGCTTTAGGAGAAATCCTACACAACTATTGTACTTAACTAGACTGGAAGAAGGATCTTAGAAAACATTGATCAAAAGATTTCCTGAGAGGTACTCTCTGATTGACATCAAATACAGATCTTTCTGTGCTTATATAGTTAATTATAGATCATCTGCCTCTGACCTGTAATTAACTCGTTTATAGTGGTATATTCTTATTGCAGACTTCTTCTTTCAGTATTGATAACCAGAGCGTGCTACATTTTATGGATGAGTTTGCTACACATTTTGCTTCGTTTAATAATATGGCTTGTTTTCTCTGTCAAAGTCTCTGTTTTTAATGTGTGATTCATGTTGATTTATCCTAACAACTAGTGGTCTTGAGGTTTGTCCCAGATAAAAAATGTTGCATATTTTATAAATGCAAGATATTTTATGTATTTTTTAATTTAACATACATTTGGGAAATGTACCGATAGAAAGAATAAATACAAATACCTAGGAACCTGGATTTCAGATAATAATGATCAAACAACCAAAATAAGAGTTAGGAAAGAAATAGCAAGAAATGCGTTTGTAAAAATGAATGATACGCGGACGACACGGTAGTATTCGCTGACAGTTCTGAAACCAACCAGGAGTTAATGAACAGAATCACAGAGGTCAGTCAGAAATACGGACTTTTACTAAACACTAAGAAAACAAAATGCATGATGATCTCTAAGAAGGAACAGCAATTTGGACAAATCAGTGTAAACGGTCAACAAATAGAAAGAGTAAAAACATACACCTACCTTGGTACGACCGTCAATGAAAATTGGGACCATTCCATAGAAATCAAATGTAGAATAGAGAAAGCAAGATCTGCATTTCAAAAAATGGCTAAGTTATTCAAATGTCATGATTTATCAATGCCCATAAAAATCAGGTTACTCTCACAGACGCCACCTGCAAGAAAATTGAGGCTTTTGAAATGTGGCTTTATCGTCACATCCTGAAGATATCGTATACCGACCACGTTACTAATGAGGGTGTTCTGTTGAGAATGAAAAAAGAAAAAGAGCTGTTAACCACAATAAAAACAGCCAAAATCGAATACCTCAGTCACATCATAAGGAACAGCGAAAGATATAGACTGCTGCAACAAATCTTGCAGGGAAAAGTAGAAGGAAAACGAGGACCAGGAAGGCGAAGGATTTCCTGGCTGAAAAATCTATGAACGTGGTTCAACGCAACAACCACAAATCTTTTTAGAGCAGCAGTATGCAAAGTGCAGATTGCCATGATGGTCACCAACATCCGAAACGGATAGGCAGTACAAGAAGAAGAAAAATGAAAACAATTCTCTGCAACAAAGATCTTAGATTCGAACTGAGAGTAAGAGCACTGAGATGCTACGTGTTTTCGATACTGCAATATGGACTTGAAAGCTGGACATTGAAGCAAGAACACATAAATAAGTTACAGTTCTTTGAAATGTGGTGTTACATGAGGTTGCTTAGAATAGCATGGACACAGAAGAAAACTAACACGGAAGTATTGCGAGAAATGGGCAAAGAATGAGAAATAATAAACACAATAAAAATAAGAAAGTTACAATATCTGGGACACGTAATGAGGGGACAGCGATATGAACTGCTAAGGCTGATAATACAGGGAAAGATAAGAGAAGAAAGGATCATAGGAAGAAGGAGAGTGTCATGGTTGCACAATTTAAGGGACTGGTTTAAATGCAGTGCTATAGAACTCTTTAGAGCAGCAGTAGATAAAGTAAAGATAGTGATGATGATATCCAACCTCCGATTGGGAGACGACACTTAAAGAAGAAGAAGATATTTTATAAATGCAATTTCTTATCGCTTCTGTGTGTTTTACGGTTTGGTGTTGGGAAGAAAAGATCTCAATGTATTAGTTGTTTTATGTGTTGTATTTATTTACTATCCTTTTTCATTTTTCCGATAAGGCTTTTACATAATCATAATATATATTATTTTTATCTTTAAATCCCTTCTTGGGAGCATTTATAGATAGTTTTTGGTCTTTTCTTGTTTCCTTTCTTCAATCTTTTGAACTTCCTCGTTTATAAATGGGCAATGGATAATAAATTTTTGTTATGATCTTTGTTAGCAGGACTTTTCTTCCTGAAATGAATTTTCGTTGGAGCAGGTATTATGGGATCATAGTGATTTGGTGATTCCCTTTTGCTATTTATGTTGTAGTTTGAGTGATAATTTAAATATCTGTTGGTGTGGGTTAGTTTTCTGTAGAATTTAGTTACATATCCTATATCCTCCCTTATGATTAAAACATCCAGAAAATGGTGTGTTTTGTTATTTTTTTCCATGTTGAATTTGAATGTATATTCTTTACAGTTAATGTACAAAAAAATATATTCAGTTCTTCTTGTCCAAGAAGCCAAATGGAGAACACATCATCTACATATCTCTACCATACTGTGGGTTTCTGGTCCTGTTTTTACACAATATTTCGCTCACATTCTTCTAATAGTGGAGATAATAATGAAGCTGATGGCTGATCCAAAAGCTTGTTTATAAAAATCATTATCTAATTAAAAATAGGTGTTATCTGTGCCTAGTGTTAATAGCTCCACTGGTTTAGGTTAGCTTTAATATGAGTTGGTGCTGAACCACCCTTCCGTTCGACCTGGGAGGCCTATTGTGGCTCATCTCTAGATCTAAGTTGTCCTTTCAGCCCAGGCTTTTTAAAAAAGTCTATTATGGTCTTTGATGACACTTCTACGAAGTCGTAGGGCTTAGGTTGATAATGCTTGTCTATGTAACTGGTTCTCCGAAAGACGAAGCATGTGTCAATCCAGAAAGAGTTAAAATCGTCTTATTCCAGCAGCACAGGAGACAACGTTAAGGAGAATGGTCAATAAATATAAATAAAAGAATAAAAATTTATTTCTATACTGAGGAACAAGTTCCACTGTTCGTGAATATGTCAGCTTTTCTTAAACACTTCTACCGACTAGTAGCACATACTTGTAGTGTTCATAAGTGTTTCTTAAAAAGACTGACTTATAGATGAATTGTTTATTTATTATACTTCTTATATACACGGCATTCGATATATTTTTACAAAAAGGTATCGTATTATTTTCTTATATTTCACAACGGTTAATTTTTTAGGACACATTGCCGTTTGGGATCTTCACAACCAGACCTTAGTAAGACAGTTCCAGGGCCACACCGACGGCGCTTCGTGTATAGATATCTCTTCTGAAGGAACTAAATTGTGGACAGGTGGATTGGATAACACCGTCAGAAGTTGGGACTTGCGCGAAGGTAGACAATTGCAACAACATGACTTCAGGTAAATATAACAAAAATAGTAGACATATTTTAATAATTACGAAAAGAGCAAAATCTCTAAACTTCTCTGTAAATTTCAATATTCCAGGAAGAGCAACATAGGGATATACTGCAATTCGCTGTTTGCAAATACTTGGAAGAGATACGAGAAAGGATCGTGCGCGTGAAGCGGCGAAACCTTCCATTTTTATTAGCACTTTTCATAAGTACTATCATTGAAAAAAATGGGATTTCCCAAAATGTTGTATTATAAATTGTTAAAATGCAACAAGAAATATTCAAATATTTTATAATCTTTAAAGTTCAAATGATGAAATCTGAACATAAATAATATATTTACATATTTTTTCAATAAAAAATCCATTAAATTTTTTTCAGTTAAATATTAATATAAATTACAATAATTATTGTATTTATATTAATTAAATATATAAACAAGTTTAGGTCATTTTGTTTGCAGTTTACATGCGAGTAATATTAAAAGTGCTAATAATGTCGCTGATCTATAACACTAGGTGTCGCTCTTGCGAACTTGCACATAGCTTCTTCTTCTTCTTCTTCTTATATAGACATGACTGTCTGTTTTTCAATGTGCCTCCAGTAAGTTGTCATTTCATCGTTTTCGTGGTCTTCTTATTGATCGTCTTCCTATTGGGGAACCTTCTCTTACCGTCTTTACTACTGTCATTCGGCTTATATGATCATTCCATTCTACTCTTCTATTTCTTACCCAATTTTTGATGTTCTCCACCTTGCATCTATGTCGTATATCTGTACTTCTAGCTCTGTCACATAGTGTCTGACCATCAATTTTTCTAAGTGTTTTCATCTCTGCTGTTTCTAACATCCTTTTTGTCCTCTCTGTGTCAGGTCTTGTTTTTGCCGAGTATGTCATTATTGGTGTGATGACTGTTTTGTAAATTGCACATAGCGAATATACATATTCTTCTCTGGTCTCTGGCCTCTGGTTAATTTCTTGGGAGGTAGATTGCCAACTATCCCTCCATATTTTAGGTGGTCTTCCGGGGGGTCTTGAACCGGGCGGATTGTTTTCTAGGGCAATGTTTGGGAGTCTATTCTCATCCATTCGTCTTACATGGTTGTACTCTTGCGCTGCCTTCCCCATCTTACAATATCTTGAATTTTGCACTGCTCTCTAATGTTTGTATTTCTCACTCTGTCACTTCTTGTTTTCCCCATTATTGTTCTTAGTGTTTTCATTTCGGCAACCCTTAACATCTGTTTCGTTTTGTTGGTATCTTCGCGCACTTCTATGCCATATGTCATGATTGGTCGTATGCAAGTCTTATAGATTCTAATTTTACTATCTGTGCGCATATACGGATTTGACCAGACTATCTCCCGCAGACATCCTGACAGTGCAGATGCTTTGTTGATCTGACTCCTCAGGTCCTTTACTGGGTCGTGGGTGCTTGATATATCTATGCCCAGATTAGTGATGTAACAAATGTCATTTTTTAAACATTCGCGAATGCGAATGCGAATATATGCCACCGACATTCGCGAATGCGAATGCGAATATGTATTCAGTTTTTTTATTTAATTTGGCAATTTTAATTGTCTCCGGCACTGCCGGCAGTCTCATTTGCGCGAGGTGTGTAGGCAATTGGAAAAAGTCTGTCATTTTTAACTGCTTTAAATTGTCCAGTATCATTCTATCATATTTGCTAAAGTAAAGATGTGAAACAGTTGTATTTATTGTAAAGAAGTTTATTGTAGGCGGTTAAGTTTATTGAGGGGTCGTTTAAAAAGGTATTTATTTATAGTCACGTCCGGGCCAAAAACGTAGAAAGCACGTTTTTCGATCTTATTTTCTCTTGTTATAATCAAATTTGACTTGTTATAGAGAGAAAGTTATAGCAGAGAACTAAGTTCTCTGGTTATAGTTCCAATAAAAATTTCACGGGACACAAGTCACTCCACTTGCCCTGCTCTGCTCGTGCACAAATACAAGTGAATTTTTAGTTAAAGTGTGATTAGCGATTTATTACTATGAGTAAATCAAATTATAGTGAAATATGGACTTATTTTTCACCACTTTTCGATACTAAACGAGCTAAATGCAAGCTGTGTAATATTCGCAAAACATTCGCATAAATTTTGCGAATGCGAATGCAAATGCGAATATGCAAAAATATGCGAATATTCGCGAATGCCAATGCGAATGCGAATATTTGTTACATCACTAGCCCAGATATCTGAATTGCATCACCTGTTCTATGGGGTTGTCCTCAACCACTAACTTACATCTCAGCGGATCTTTTGCTATTGTCATACATTTAGTTTTGTTGGTAGAGATGTTCATATTTAGTAGTCGGCTTGCTTGAAAGAACTGAAAGAGCTGCCTTTGGAGATCATCTTCTGATTCTTCAATAATTGCTGCATCGTCTGCGTAACACACCATACCAATTCTTTTGTTGCCCATTCTATATCCGAGATTAAGAGATGTTACTTTGTTGATAATTTTGCTCATGAGAAGATTAAACAAGAAGGGGCTTAAACTGTCGCCTTGTCTAATTCCTCCCGGTGTTGGAATATTTTCAGTGAATTCGTCTCCTGCTCTAACTTTGGTTACGTTGTTGTTATTTAGGTTATGGAGTATCTTTGTTATACTGGTCGGTGTTTCATTTTCTATTAATATATTTAGAATGTCTCCCAGGCGAACTCTGTCAAATGCCTTCGTCAAATCAATGAAGCAAATATACGCTGGCATGCCGAACTCTATAGCTTTTTCTTTTATTTGTTTTATTATAAATACTGCGTCTGTTATAGACCGCCCTTTTGTAAAACCTTGTTGTTCTTCAGCATTATTGATTTGCTTTTCCAATTTGTCCTTGAGAATACCCGTGAAAAGTTTCATTGTTGTATTTAAGAGGGTTATTCCTCTATAGTTTTGTGGGCAGGTTTTTTGTCCTTTTTTAAATATGGGGATTGTGATACTATTATGCCATTCCTCTTGTGTTTCTGTTTTGTTTAATATTTTGTTAAATAGTTGTGCCAGTTTACTTGCAAGTTCCGGGCTTCCATATTTTAAAAGTTCATTGGGTATACCATCCGTTCCCGGTGATTTTCTGTTTTTTAGCTTTTTGATCTTTGCTTCTACTTCTTCGTCATTGATTGTAGCACTCACATCTGTTTCGCCTTCGTTTATATTCAGCGTTTCTTCAGCATCATATAGCGAATGTACATAAGAATAAAAATTCTCACTTGCGGTATTGAAATTATACGTCAAGGAGAAAAAACAAGTGTAAAAAATATTTAAATCTTTTAATAGAAAATGTTTGGTGCAATCTCTCTAGACTTCTTCAGGTCAAATGATTATTTAAGTAAAATATAGGTTTGACTATAAAATACATACAGTTGTCACAGTTAAAAAATGCGAAATATACAAAAAAAGTTATTTAAGTATTAAATAGTATTAAGTATAGGCAATTAAGTATGGGACTAAAGTGTAATAAAAAAACATTTTTAATAAAAAAATTGAATATTCAAATATAATTTATGGCTGTGTTAAATCTAAACCTAAGAAAAGTATTTTATACTATTATAAAATAAAGTTCGAAAAAGTGACGCTCAAATAATTCATCTTTTTCAAGTGAATATAAGGCTAAATTGTCTAAAAATTTGCTATTAAAAGTGTTAATAATAAAGGTAGGAAGTGTATTCCTGAGGTGGGTAATAAGGTAATGGATTTGTTGAGTAATTGCTTTGATATCAAGATGAACAAAGTGTAGAAGACTGCACGAAGCATTCTATCAAAATATTGAAAGAAGTTTTTTGCTTTTTTTGTCACCTTGACCGGTCGCAGTGATATTTTTACCCCACTTTCTTTGTATATTTAAATTAAGAGCCATATATATATATATATATATATATATATATATATATATATATATATATATATATATATATATATATATATGAATTTTTATCAAATAAAAGGCAAATATGGAGCACAGTTTTTATTAAAACTTGCCCAAGTACTTTCGCTCCTAGAGCATCTTCAGGGGCATTTCTTCAAAATTAGGCTATCCAACAATATATGGTGAATGTCATAATGTATCAGTAATGTTTATAACATTCACCATATATTATTGGATAGCCTAATTTTAATGATAACTTCTGGCGATATCTGCCTTTTAGTTGGTCAAAAAAATATATAAAAATATTTCTTTGTTGTCACTGTAAAAAATAGTGCGTGTTTATAAGCTTAATTATATTTTTAGCTCCCAGATCTTCTCTCTTGGATACTGTCCGATGGGCGAATGGCTTGCGGTGGGTATGGAAAATTCTAATGTGGAAGTACTCCATGCTAACAAACCGGACAAGTACCAATTACACCTTCATGAAAGCTGTGTGCTGAGTTTACGATTCGCAGCGTGCGGCAAATGGTTCGTTTCTACAGGAAAAGATAATCTTCTGAATGCTTGGAGGACGCCATATGGGGCTAGTATATTCCAGGTAAGGACTGTTAATATTATTTTAATTGTAAAATAGTAAAACGATAAATAGTTAGAGACGTAGTGAGAAAGTGAGTAGGAGTTGCAAGAAAAGATAATAGCATTAGGAGAATAATAACACTGGCTTTGTAGATCATACAAAATACTTAAAAATAAGACAGTACCCACTACAAATGTATATATCGAAAGATAATATAACTTCTACAGTAAATAATATGCAAGAAGGAATATTCACATTATGTGGAACCCGCCATTCTATGACTAGTGTTTTGCTATTTTTAGCTCTTCAGATAGACCTGCTAGGTGTGACAAAATGAAAATATTCCCCTTCGTATAACAGTGTTTATGCAAAACCTTTTTGTCATTCACTAGTGTAATCTAGTTTAAATAGATATAAACCTACATTGACATTTTCTATCCCTCTAATCCAGAGTACACCAGATGGCGCCTGATATTTTTGATATAATATTTAAGAACTCCGTCATGTAGAAATAATTCGCAACGTTCTACTTCATCAGCCATTCTATGACACGTGCTTCTACAATATTTTCACTTCCAAAATAAGTAACAAATACATGCAGAGCGTGTGTGAATCTTTAAATTTTGGTTATGATCCTCTATTAACGCATTTTTAGTGGTAAAACAAACTCTCAAAATGTGGAAATATTGCGAAAAACTTAATAAGGGTAAACGAGCTCTTAAAAAAAATAACGGTTTTTTTTATCTCAATCCTGATTTTGATTTTCAACAATTGCCTGAATAAGCGCTGATAAATCTTCATGTTCCTTAATTATTTGCACGATCCTACGACCATTTTGTAGAGCTACGGAGGAATTTTCTTTTTCACATGTATGTTACTTCATTTTGCTGTATCGTATTCCAATCAAAGAAAGCAACGTTTAGAAATTTTAAAAATATACTGTTTTAATGTTTAATGTTTTAACTTTAAAAGTTAAAACAATTTACAACTCCTTATTCTTATTTACTTTAATAACAAGAGGTAAAATATTAAAACCAACATCACTTTGCACCATTTTTTGATAGTTTTTATGCATTATTTCTTGTTTTGTCCCTAACCCCTTTTATAAGAGTTTTAAATATATCCCTCCAACGTATCTTTTACTAATTTTTGCCATTAATGACACTAATGATAATCATTATTAACAATCCCCCCATATATCTTTAATGGGATTAAAAATAGAACGATAAGCAGAGAGACGTAGTATTTAGTGACCTTGTTATTCTGAAAGTTAGTCAGCTTCACTAGTAGGACTTTTTAAGACTCGGAAGTGAAAAGAAACTAACCGTCCATCTATCTGGCAATTATTATTAAATTATGTACCACTAAACGCTTGTAGCAACGAGACATCGTTGTGGACCACAAAACGTAACTGAACACAATTAATTTGCCTCTGTGTTTTTCCATGTAACACTGGTACAGGTAAAATCATCACTATGTCTTGCGATAAAACACTAACAACTTCAGGAACATTTGGATAAAAGAACTTGTTCGATTTATTTTTTCTTCTCAGATAATTGCTCTCATATTCCAAATCATCGAAAAGATTAGTCAAAATTTTACCAACAAAATATTTTACTGACTTATTGCTTGCGAACTTTCAAAGAACATAGTCATCAATGACTGCATTTCTATCCAGTTCTTCGAATCCTGTTATTGGAGCCTCAAGGTCGGCATCATATTCAGATGAGCTGTTCAGGGATTCTGCTTCGTCACTTGAAGAACTATTTTCGGATTCGATAAATCGTTTTTATACTGTCTTTGCTGTAGCTTTGCGTTTTTCGGCGTTCTTTGTTTGAAGTTCAATTTTTTCTGGAGTATCCGTTGGAATGAAACTTGGTTTTCTTGGAGCAGCTTTGGGGTAGCCTCGAAACTCGTCATGACGGTTGCTTCAGAATCATGGTCAATAGTAAGTGTTGTTATCACAGTATCAAGATTCGAAGTAGAATCCCCATGTTTGTCATTTGTGCAGGAATCTGAAACTAGAGATTCGACAGTACCATTTGAAGATGTTGACTGTTCAGGCCGGTCTGTGACGGAACTAGGAAGAAAATCTTCTTCTGCAAAAACATCCCGATCATAAGGGAAAATACCCGATTTACGGAATCCTGATGTTATATTAATCGGAGTCATTGAATGCTGAAATGCACTCGTAATACATTCTGGTATATCTTATATGGTCATTGGAACTCCGGGGTGATGCATAAGCCAGTAGTCGACAGCTCTGTTATAGTGTGCCTTCAATGAAAAATAAACGCCAACATCTAATGGTTGTAGTTTATTACTTCAATGGGGAAGAAAGGTTAAAATAGTCACTCCATTGGATTTGGCCAAATCCACACATTCAATTGAAAGATGACTTTCGTGGTTATCGAACAACAGGAATGTTGGATTTTCGATTGAGGAATGTGTATGGTTTATGAAATGGCGCATAACTTCTACAAACAACTCACTGTTCATGCAGCCCGAAGGTGTTGCAACTCTCAAACTACTAGTTGGTGCATTACGAAGCATATGCGGTTTAAAATGAGCCCTAGGAAATATAATGGCTGGTGGAATCGTGCTTCCTGAAGCACTTATGAAGCAGCAGGTCGTTACAAAAGACCCTCTTTCGGCACTAGTTACTTGACTCACTCGTTTAACTCCTTTGCAAGCGATCACTTTTTTGGTTTCTGCACAGTTGAAGAAAGAAAATTGACAGATTATGTTTAATGAAAGATATAGCACGCGAGAGACTACATCCTTCTGGTTGTCTGATGCTCAAGTTAGGTGATCGTTTTAAAAAACCTCTCATCCATTCTAAGCCGGTAGCTGTATTTTCTGACCAATTATTCGGAATCCGAATATTATTTTTTTGAGCCAATTCATATGCTAAACGGCGACATCATTCAAGAGTTGTTAGGCCATAGTTCATTTTTGAGCACATTCCGAGGTATTCTGCCAGTGCAAATTCCTGTTCTTTCGACATAATTTGGCGGCATTCCTAGAAAGGTCTCATTTTCATTTTCACTTCGGTATCAGGGTTATTCCTTTGTTTTTTCACGTATCTGAAATAGAAAGATGATTGTTTATTGAAAAAATAAAATCTTTTACGCGAAATCTAATCTACCGTCATCATTTCCTTTACGATTTACCTTGCTAAAGTCTGAAATGACACCCCTTAAGTTCTGCTACGTTTCGCAATGAAAACACTTCTTTTGTGACTAATTTCACGACTTCGCTCATTTGACTGTCAGAAAAAGAAGCAATGTTAGTCTTTCTTTTTCTATTCCTTGCCATGATCTACAAAAAAAAAAAGAAACAAATAGTATGAGTTTGTATTATCGAACTAACGTCCTCGATGGGGTACAGTGAGATGCGTCTCAGTCTGCCCCCTAAAGATTGTCTTACTTAACCCCACAGGTACAATTTCTCTAAAGTGTGATATTTATTCTAAATTCGATAAAATAAATGCAATATCGCTACGTAATTCCATGCAAAAATACCTAAGCTTTACTTACCACCAATATCAAAGTACTCCCAAGTAACTGAATTCACAACCGAATAATATCAGTCGATGTGAGGAACAATATAATTACTTTCGGGAGCAAAAATCACACTACCACTTGACACGCAAAAAGGAACAAGCGAACCAGTCGCGCACCTAGTTATGCTACCTCCACCATTTTAAATCCTTAAAATTTGTGAATAACAGTGTCGGAATGGGGTCCTGGGGGTTTAACCCCCTAAAACCCTCTTGGGTGCACCACTGAAGCGTTTATGGTAGGGATAGCGTGCAAAGCGCTGTTGATATGTCCTCAGAAAATGCATTGTCCTACTGTAGAACATGTCTCACTGTGGACCACTCTCCCCTATACACCCATCTGCTCCTGATGGTTTCATTATACTGTTAGACTCTATAAAACCAATCAAAACTAAAATTAATAAGATATTTTCTGTTTTAGTCAAAGGAATCTTCAAGTGTTCTCAGCTGCGATATATCAACAGACGACAAATACATCGTTACCGGATCGGGAGATAAGAAGGCGACGGTGTACGAAGTTATATACTAATCCCAAATTAGAAGAGAAGAAGCCGGACTCAAGTGTAGTTATAAAATTAATACAATTGTGATAATTATGTGTAATAAACAATTACAGACGTATCAGAAGAGAAGACAGTCACGTAAAAAAATGTTAGTGATCTGATGTGAGATGACTAGGTTGTTAGGAATGGTGATCTCTCATGACAATTTAAAATACACGTTTTTTAATTATTTAATGTACATATTTAATTGTTACAAAACTCACATAAGTGACAACTACGTAAATACTTAATTTTTTTAATTACTGAAATTCTCATTCTATCTTTTCTAGAATTGTACATATATCAATCACGGTAATTCTACAGAACGTTGTAAACATTTCAGAATTAGTAGGTTTAACAACTTGAAGCCTCAAAGATAAGTATTGTAGAATCAAAACCAGAGCTAAAACGGAAAAACTTTTTCCACTCATATTTTAGAAATAAATTCATAATGGAAATATTTATAATATTTTAGTATCTCATTTTTCTGGCTTCTGACTTCTCTGGCATTATGGTTATTTTAAAAGATATTTTGCTTTTAAATGTTTTCTTTCCATACATTCAATTTTGGTTACCTATATTTGGCATAAAATGACTTGTGGATGTAACATAAAACAGTTCTTATGGTGTAATAGTACCAATCCGTTCTTATAAACTGAAATTCATGGGTTCGATTTGACAGTCGTTAATTTTCTGGATTTTTAACATTTAAATTAAATATAATTTAAACTCGACATTTAAGAAGAATAAAGGAAAATATAATGGGACCGAATAAAAAACCCAAAGACAAACAACAGATCAAGAACTAAAATAAAACCAGCAAAAACATAAATTCGATAAATGGGTATGTCGCCGAAGAAGGAAGAAGATGATCAAATAGAAGTGCTATGAATAAAAGAGGAAAAGCGTAAGGTCCAAAATTGATATGATTAAATTGAACGCTTGCAAAAAGTGGATAAAGAGAGAACTGGAGGCATAGTTATACTAAGCTCAATACATTTCAGTACTAGATAGTGGTAAAGATATCCAAAAAGACTAGAAATAAATTAATATCAAAAATGATTATGTCCATATTTGTTTAGTCAATCATGTCCTTAATGAAAGTGTCTATAGTCAGTTTTTTGTAATTCATAGATTTTCTGCATCTTTCTTATAATTGATTCATTCAGTTAGTCCATTTGTCCTGAAACTTTTTTTTGTCCACTACACCACTTTTTTTTCACTTTCGGTAGTAATTTTCACTATGCCTCTTCTTTTTGGACATAATTTTTCAATATTTTCCCAAGTTCAGCACGCTAATGCATAATTTTGTTTTAAAATTAAAGCATGTTTATGTTGTAATATAGGTACATACCTCTTATATAAACATTGAATAAATATCATATACATAAACAAAATACATACTTTTGACGTATCAAGTACTTTAAAACAAGAAATATTTGCAAAATCTTACAATGTTCTCTAAAATTACCAAAATCACTACTATTAGATACATTGTTTTTTTATTTTTGTTGTTTAATGTATTTTTTTAAAATATTTTAGTCCGTTTAAATTGTAAACTACAGTGGAAAAGTATGAGACTTCTGTTTCTTTTAATTTTTGAAAAATAAACTACTTAAAATATGACGACCGTTAAAAATTTTCGTTTTATTTTTTATGAAGCTGCTGTTAATTTTTTGTATTAGTGTAGAAATGTTTTAGTATGTGTATTTAATGTTGAAATAATTTTTTATATTTACCTACCCTCTTTTTATTTCTTAACTGTTACAATAATACCTTAAAAATGAACGTTTGTAATTTATACTTGCCTCTAATGTATGTTATTCTGCTATGTTATATTGCTATTCAGTGTAGTGAAATCGATAATCAAGAAGCCTTCACTAGTCGTTCAACAAACAAAAAATTTAAAGGAACTGGGATTATATAGAAGTAAGTTTACTGGATTAATAATGAATTTACAAGGCAACATGATAACTTAAACCTTCATAAAAAATTAGGGAAATAACAGGCACTAATATTAAGAAAAAATCAAACATACTGCTGGATAAAAACGGCAAAATAATTATAGACGTCGGTGAAAGGCTTAAAAGATGGCAGGAATATATTCAAGAGCTATTTAAAGACGAACGGACTGAGATGGTACTAAAGCAGGAAAAGTTCGACAACGGCTCAGACATAACAGAAGATGAGGTATTAGAGACGATAAAGCGAACAAAGAATAACAAGGCAACAAGTTCTGACTTACCTGTAATACGTCTGACGTCTGAAATACCTGTAGGCATAATACGGTTAATAGAAGAACAGCAAATTGGATTATTGGTCGACTTATTTAATACAATATACAGTACAGGAATCATTCCCAGAGATTGGCTGATATCAACATTCATAACACTACCAAAAAAACCAAATGCAAAAGAATGCCAAGACGGCCGGATAATAAGTTTAATGAGCCATACGCTCAAAATGTTTTTAAAAATTATACACCGGATAATACACAACAAACTTGAGGAGGACATAAGTGACACACAATTTGGATTTAGAAATGCACTGGGAACGAGGGAAGCCCTGTTCGCTGTGAATGTACTTGTGCAAAGGTGCATGGATGTTAATCAGCCAGTATATATATATATATATATATATATATATATATATATATATATATATATATATATATATATATATATATATGTGTGTGTGTGTGTTTCTTGGATTACAACAAAGCTTTCGATAAGGTCAGACATAACCGTCTTATCGAATTACTTGAATAGAAAAACTTAGATATGCGAGACATCAGGATCATTAGCGCTATCTATTATAATCAGATCACTGTGGTAAAAGAGAACAAAGTCTTTTCAAATGAAATACAGATTGAGAGGGGCGTCAGGCAGGGCTGTGTCCTGTCTCCTAGTTTGTTTAATTTGCATTCGGAAATAATCCAGGAAGCATTAGAAGAACTAACTATGGGAATAAAAGTAAATGGCCAACTAATCAATAATATACAGTTTACCGACGACAATTTTATTAGCTGAATGTCTTGAGGATTTACAACAAATGGTTGACAGAGTGGTAGAAGTCAGTGAAGAAAACGGACTGTCCTTAAACACAAAAAAGACACAATTTATGGTAATTACAAAAGCCCAACAGCGCCAAGAAAGCATAACAATACATGGAGAACAAATTAAAAAAGTTGAAAAATATAAATAACTGGGTACAATAATTAATGAAAATAATGAGTACACAGAAGAGATTAAGGCAAGAATAGGACAGGCAAGAAATTTTTTCAACAAACTGAAAAAAGTACTCTGCAGAAGGGACAATTCAATTTCTTTAAAGATAAAACTTCTGAGATGCTACGTGTTCTCTGTATTATTTTATGGGTTGGAGGCTTAGACTTTAAAGAAAGATGTTTCGGACAAATTGGAAGCCTTCGAGTTATGGGCCTACAGAAGGATATTAAGAATAAGTTGGGTAGATAGAGTCACGAATGTCGAGGTGTTGAGAAGAATGGGTAAAGATAAAGAGGTCTTAAATACAGTTAAAGTCAGAAAACTGCAATATCTGGGACATGTTATGAGGAGCGAGCATTATAGCTTGTTGCAATTAATAATGCAAGGAAGAATACAGGGTAGAAGGAGTCGCGGAAGAAGACGTATCTCCTGGTTGGATAATTTGGGAGCTTGGTTTAACTGCACTTCTGCTGACCTCTTTAGAGCAGCGTCGTCGAAAGTGCGAATTGTCATGATGGTTGCCAACCTTCTTAGAGGAGATGGCACGTGAAGAAGAAGACAAGGCATTTATATACAAGTAATAAATATGATATGATTATAATATAAGTAGACCAGAGGTGGAACAGTACTCTTTACAAAAACTGGAAAAGCCCTTTCTTTTTATAACGCCATCTCCTTTCACTGGTTGGCGATTCAAATCAAGACAAGACTAGAAAGATGTGACTTATATTGAATATTAAGAAGATACCAGTGCCAGTAATAAATAAACAAAGGAATGTGTTAGGTGTTCTGAAAACCCTATAGAACGCTTTTAGCAATACAAATATGTGGGCTGCATCCTTAGTAAAACTGGCAAGGCACACAAGAGATAAGATATCAAATAGAACAAGCTGGAACCTTTTTGTTTGTTTGAGCATTATTGGCTTCAGGTAAATGTCCATTCGCCATCTTACCTTTATGAAATTATTTTATATTTTTTATACGGATAAGGAGTTCTCCTTGCTTTCTTCTCGGTTGTGTAGGTAGGTATACAACCATGACACTGACAAATAGCATGTGTAAAATCTGAAAGTTTCAAAATAGTAGTAGAAGTAGTATACCGGCGTATACTACTTCTTCTTCAAATGCTGCCTCCATGAATGGAGGTTGAAAACAATTTCAGCGAATTGTGTACGGTTTTTAGCCGTTTTCAAGAGTGTATGTGAAATTTGACCTGTCTAATCAAGAATGTTCTTTAACAGGAAACACTGTATACAGCCAGGTCCTCTCTGGCCCCCTATTTTTCCTTATATCATTAATTTCGATCATATCTCCGGTGACGAGATATATATCTTAGCTATGCGGCCTTTTTCATCTTGATTAATGTTAAGTTCTCCGTGTTTTCCTGTTCGTCTCAAAACTTCGTCATTTGTGACGTGATCCACCCAAGATATTCTGAGAATACGTCTAGGTATATCTATATTTCTATGGCCTCGAGACTTATACCTCATTGTACCAACTCTCATGGTCCAACTCTGTATGTATGTCATACAACAAGACAGAGTACATACATGTAACATTTGACAAATCTCAACCTGGTGGTTATTCGGAGGCTCACCAAGGTCTTCATCTTAAGAAAAGTTGCTGTTTCTATTGTCTGTTATCCAGCAGTCTTGGTGGTCTTTGAAATGTGCATTCTGAATAGTAATTGAGCATAATGAGCGATCCTTGTCTTACTCTCCGGTTAGACACTTTCCAGTCTTACTGGCGCCACTTGGTGC